CTCCGCCGTTGTGCTCGTCATTCGCGGTCGTCTTCAAGAAGTCGCCATCATCGCTTTAGGTGAGATCTTTTTCGTCACACTTCACTTCGTCGCACCTAGGGTTCGGCCTCCCCTTCAGTCGATGCAATGTCGCTCTCTAATTTGAAACTAGCTATACCGAAAAAATGATATACCCTAGAGTAACGTATAGATTGGTACCGTATGAATTACATACATCAAACCTGAGTTGAGTGTCGTGGACTCAACCCTTTCAATCACCACCCTCTTCCTCGGCCAGGCTGGGCACAAGCCCACTTTTGGGAGCATGATTAGATTTTGAATTGAAGTCCTCCCCCAAAACATCCAAACAGCCAACCTATATAGGGCGCTGTCAGCCGGTCACTTAGGTGGCCCGGCTTGTTGGGCCAGCCCACACCCCTATGATTTGTCAATCATTGGTCTATATATGCACCACATGTACATTAGCAAAGGTATAAATATCTTTTCCGACACGTGGAAGATGACGTCCTAAAAAAACTAAACAAGAGAAAACCATAAAATGTGCACAAATAGAATTTCCATATTCTTATTTCCAAATAAGAGTTACAATGCAAATACAATGCCAATTATATTAATATAGAGTAAAGTGCATTGTTTACCCCCGTATTCTTTAGAAATTGCATACTTTACCCTTGAACTTTAAAAAGTGCATCGATTACCCTCGAATTTTTCGAAAATTGCACGATTTACCCCTGCACACTAAAAAATGCACCAAATACCCTTGAACAAATTAAACCGTTGCATCGTTCGTCCTAAACTTTTATATAGGGAGTGTGTTGCTTCCACGCACAAGAATTGCGAATATGATTCATATGGCCCTTGTGAATTTTCTAAAGTACCTTTACCCAAATTTGTCGTTTTTAACTAAATGTTCAGGAGTAAACAGTACAATTTTCGAAGAGTTCAGGGGTATTTGGTACAAATTTTATTGTTCAGGGGTAAATCGTGCAATTTCTGAAGAATTCAGGGGTATTTGGTGCACTTTTTAATGTTCGGGGGTAAACCATGCAATTTTCAAAGAATTCGAGGGTAAACGGTGCACTTTTCTCTATTAATATATAACACCAAAACGTATTGTTAAATGTCCATATACAATGTCAATTTTTACAATGCAAATTTCTATTTTAGAAACAAAAACATGAATATTTCGGTACTTCTTTTATGTTTTATTTATATTTATGGTGAATCCTTTTCTAAAATAAACTCTACACTTATGTTATTTCTTAGTTTGGTTATAAATATGTGATTCAAAATCATTTTTACTTACGTAAACAAATTCAAATTTCACATTTTTTACGTTTTAACAATTTTTTGGCCGCCAAGTATGTTTCTGGTCGAGTTTAAACACTCGGAGGGAGTAGAATGGGACTTTAAGCCATTGTAGGAAAAAAAATAGAGACCAGCCCCATCTTAGCTTTCCATTTCGTGCTTCTCACTTTTACATTTAAAAAATTGACAAATTGACAAAAACTTTTCAAATTATGGTGGCTTTTAATGAAAAAAAATGTATTTATATTATCCTATACAATATAATTAAATATAGGATCATTAAATATAATTTTAAATTGGGGCTCGAACATTAGAGCACTATAAATACTCTTGAAGCCCCAAAGCTTTAACATTTCTTTCTCTGCCACATCAGCTTTAACTTACCTCGTAATTTCACTAGAAATGGGTCTGAAGCTCCATGGCTTCAAATTGGGGCTTCAAACCTTTATTTTTTGACATTTTTAATGCACATTTTATAAAACTAAATTGATAAAGCTTCACATTAATTAAATTTAAACAATAATAATTTATTAAATAAAAAAATTGCATTAAAAACATTTAATAAAAAAATATATTGATAAAAAACTAAGGCAAATTATATTTGGTCTTGATGTCTTTTTGTCTTCTCTCGTAAGGCATACGTTTGAAGCCGTTAACGTATCAAGGTCGTTTCCATTATTTTCGACATCTTTTTTCTCTTGCCTTCGTTTCTCTCTCTTCTTCCATAATATTGAACACCCGCAACTGTTTAATCATTCCCCGATCGATATCATCTTGAGAGGAAATAGGGTCGGACCTTACAAAACCTGAGGCAATGGATTTTTCCTTCTTCCTTCCGACTGGCCATTGAAATGAGGTCCTCATCATCAGAGTCGTCTAGTTGAAGGGAGATCTCTATTCTGAAGAGTTGATATTCTCATCGGCCTCAACCTCGGCAAACAATCTTTTCTTTGGCAATTCGGCCTCAAGGTTATTGAGTTGTTGCCATTTTGGTGAACGGCTTAAAATTCTCCAAAGATCGACAATGACATTGCCTTGGTGTCCGTCGTCTTGATACCGGATGGTGACTTGCTGCAGAACATCACCATCATTCGTCACGCTCTTCCAGATCCAAGAGCATTCCTCGTAAACTCTGGTAAACTTTCGAACTTTGCGCTTGATGTGGCCCATTTGGAAATGAGTTGGTCTTGGGTTTGGTAGGAGAGGTCTTTATTCATCATCGCAAAGAACTTCTCCTCGATATGATCCCACGTCGCATACTTCGTTTGCTCAAAACCTGTAAGAAATACGGAGTACATAATTGAAGGAAAAAATATTTTAATGCAAATATATAAAAAATAGAGTAAATTCCATAAAAGGTCTCCGGTTATAGGTCGTTTCACATATTTAGTCTATACATATCAAATATCAATAATTTAGTCCCCAATTACTCCGTATTATATTGTTTTTCACAAATGGTCCTTTGTTAACATTTTCGTTAAGAACATGGATAAATTTTATATTCACACTTCTCTCCCTCCTCAATTAAGCTTTTTCTCTCCTTCCTGAATCCGTCGCTGAGTTTGAAGCTCTAAACCCAAAACCAAAACAACCACTCTTATCTCAATTGTTCATCTTCCTGGTCACCCAAAATCAAAACCAATAACATTCATAAATGAGTTTTACGAGTTAGTCTCAAAAAATTGCAAAGTAAATAAATCTTAAAACTCATCAATGAAGGTGACTGGTTTCGAATTTTGGATTCCAGACGAATAATTGAGAGAGGAGTGATGATTTCGATTTTAAGTTCAAAGCTTTAGACTTAGTGATGGGTTTGAAAAAAGGAGTGTGAGTGGAGAGAGAAATATTAATTGAGGAGAGAGAGGAGTATGCATTTCCGATTTTATATGCGTTCTTAACAAAAATGTTAACAAAGGACCATTCGTGGAAAACAATATAATAATTAGGGACTAAATTATTGATATTTGACATGTAGGGACTAAATGTGTAAAATGAACTATAACTGAGGACCTTTTATGAAATTACTCTAAAAAATAACATATATACAAATATATTATAAACAAATAAAGTTTACCAGCGATAGGATGCCCGAAGACATCAACCCAAGCGGACGCCAACGACGATTCTTCCTCCGAGGTCCACTTTTGAATGGGCTGTGCCGCCTCGATTATCAGCTTTTCGCTCTTCGGTTTGTGACTCTTCCGACGTGCACTTTTTTTGGCGCACTTGGTTCTGGTCGAGTCTTCGGAACTAACTCTGGGCACTGGAAATTACTGAGGGTTGTGTATCATACATCGACGAATTACCGGTGTATGATTGGAAATCTACATTGCTTCCTCGTTTGGCTTGAGACCGGACAAAGGAACGTTAAAAGTGAAGAGATTCATGTTAAAAATAAAAACAAATATTGGAATAATTTTTTTAAGAAAGAAGAGAGAGAGATCTGTATTTGTGGTGTGTATTGAACTTTAAAAAAAGAGATTGAAGATATAGAAAAGAGAATTTTTTTTAATTCCAACGACATTATAGCCGTTGTGGAGGGAGGGGGGGGGGGGGGTTAAACACCGGAGACGTTAAAATCAGAAAAAAAGCCCCCGACGTTGGGTAAATTTCACCAATGGTACTTGAATTTTAGCTGGAATTTCGAAGTGGTACCTAAACTTCAAATCCTTTCAAAAAAAAATTTGAACTTACACAATTCATTCACTAATAGTCCATTTACCCGTTTCTAGGTTAACTTCCGGTCATTTGGGCCAAATTAGAATTTTATATATTTTAAAATTTTCAATTTGACCCCATTTCTTCTTTTCTTTTCTTCCGCACCCCGCCGCCGGTCAAAGTCGCCGGAAAATGAACTTGGTCCGATTCCGGCGGGACCAACGCCATTCTCTTCGTCTTGAGACGAGGATCAAGAATATCCAAACCATTTTATCCATTTTGGCCTGTAACTCCTCGAATCTGAATTTTTCCACTCGAAAAATCCTAAAAATCGAAATTGGGTCCAAAATTGGGGGTTTTGCAAATCGTCATCAAATCTTGCAATTGAGGGGTCCTTGGAGGTCGCCGTGATGCCACGAACACATTGGAGTGGATGACCGGCGTCAATTTCACCGGATTTGGCCGGAAAACGCTCCGACCCGCCGGCGGTAGAAAAGAAAAGAAGAAATGGGGTCAAATTGAAAATTTTAAAATATATAAAATTCTAATTTGGCCCAAATGACCGGAAGTTAATCTAGAAACGGGTAAATGGACTATTAGTGAAAGAATTGTATACGTTCAAGGATTTTTTTGAAAGAATTTGAAGTTTAGGTACCACTTCGAAATTCTAGCGAAAGCTCAGGTACCATTGATGAAATTTACCCCCGACGTTACGTGTATTACCAGTGGTCTTAGAGTTACCCTTTTTTTGAAGTCCCACTCTAATGTGTGGCTTTTGGTCCATTTAAAATGAGATTTGGGACTTTAACCATGGATATGCTCTAATTGTACTTTGCACTCCCTAAATTGTAAACTGTTCGGAGTTCGGACCCGATATGGTCGGCTACAAACAAATCCCTACGATTCAGAGGACCGGGAAAGGAATCACGGCATAGAAAAGGAATGTGGGTTCCGGCAGCACGTGGAAATCGACGCGCTCTTTTTTGTCCGTAGCTCTATGGCGCACAAAACTACGCCGTTTTCGTCATTGATCAGTTTCAATCCCACCCTCTGTGTTGAAAAAGAACCACAAAAAAAAGCTCCTCTCTGCGCGCTCGAGATTCTTCTCTTTTTCGTCACTCTCTCCATAGTCGTCTCTGCAGTCCAGCCAAAAGGGTTCTCAAAGGAATACTAATCACATGGCGTAATTGGGGCAGCAAAACCGGGAAAAGGGGTTACTTGTATTGATCTCCGCCGCCGCCGTCGCCGGAAATCTACAGAGGGGAACTTGTCCGATGTCATCCGATGATCTGGCCGGTGGGTTTTCTCCGCCGCCATTGCTGTCGCCGGATGACTCGACTAGTAACTCCACCTCCGCCGCTCCTCTGTCGACTCGCAGCCCGCCTGCCGTGGAAACTGGGCTCGTACCCTCCCCGGCATCGAATAACAACAACCAAGTCAGGACTGCCCTCCTGGTTGGAATAGGCATAGGCGGAGTGTTTATGCTAGTTTGCGTGGGCATTATCGTCTTTTGGTACAAGAGGAGAAAGAGGGCTCTTGGTTTGGATGGTCGCAATTATGGGAAAGGCTCCAAAGGTGAGATTTCTGATCACTCTTTTCAGTCTTTTGGTGAAAGGTTGGATTTTTTTTTTGAAACGGGGTTTGTAAAGGTTCTTTTATGGAGGAAATATTTGTTTATTAAGTTTCCCTAATTTCTTATGATTCATTTTCTTAGATTGAGAAAGTGTTGGATTACTGTCATTGTCTCAATTTGATGTAAAACATCAATTTTGTTTTGTCTGGATTCATAGTCTTTCACAAAACCTCATTGTCAGGGATGAAGATAATCTATAATAACGAATCGGGATAGTGAGTACCTCTAGAAACACGAACAACTGCATATTAATTGAATTTGAAAAAGATTGTAATGTCAAATGTAGACTTTGCATACACATTTACGCGACTTGTTTCTTGATGCCTCCTAGACTCCAACTGAGTTTGGATTATACTTGGTTTTGTTGTTGTGGTTGTTTCTTGATGTCCTTGGACATATTTGGTAACACATGTTACATTTTTCTATATGACCATTTTGTAGCTCCATCAAAGCCGTCTCTTCAAACTGGCATTGTATCATCCCTCCAATCCCAATGGTCTCCGGCGGTTGATGTTTCTAATCAGCCGCGACCTTCCACTGGCAGCGTATCGAAACCTACTTTCACTTATGAAGAATTAGAAAAGGCAACAGATAACTTCTCCAATACCAATCTTCTTGGTCAGGGTGGTTTTGGATATGTTCATAAAGGAGTGCTTGGTGATGGGAGAGAGGTCGCGATAAAGAAGCTAAAAGTTGGAGGTACACAGGGGGAACGCGAATTTCAAGCAGAGGTGGAAATTATTAGCCGCGTTCATCATTTGCATCTCGTTTCACTGGTGGGACACTGCATTTCTGGGTCTCAGAGGTTGCTAGTGTATGAGTATGTTCCAAACAAAACTCTGGAGTTTCACTTGCATGGTTAGTCCTTGCTCATGTATCAATTTTTTGGTTTTGCTTTTGAAAAAAAGAAATTATGGATTTTTAACTATAATTCGTTATTATTTTTGTCTCTCTTACAATTCATAGACTCTCATATACTCTTCTAGTCCTCTTTATATGGCACATTATGAAAGGAGTTGACGGTTCATTTATACGCCATTGTTTTTTTCTAATGAAGTACGAGTATTTATTACTCCCCCGTCCCATGAAAAGAGTTTAGTTTCTTGACATGCTTTTGTCCCTAAAAAGAAGTCCTATTCAAGGAAATGAAACTAATTTTCATTGTTTTATAATGGTTGTGCCTTAAAATCTAAAAGTGGTACCTTGCTAATTTTCATATTTAAGGAAAACAAACCTCTTTTAAAAAGTAATCATCCACGAGACATGATAAGAGCGTTAAGTTGGAATGTCATAATATTTTTCTTTCAAGAACTCAAGAAGATGAACTCTATTGACTCTAAATTTTCCAATTGATTCTTCATAAAACTCAAACGGGAAACCTTTTATCAGGCAAGGGGCTGCCTCCAATGAGTTGGGAGATAAGGATGAGAATTGCTTTAGGTTCTGCCAAAGGATTGGCTTATTTGCACGAAGATTGTGAGTTTTGACATTGTATCTTTCTTGTCAATAATTATCACTGTATATATTTTTTGTACCGTGAATTTGAATTTTATTGTTTTTGCAGGTCAACCTATGATCATTCATCGAGATATAAAGGCCTCCAATATTCTGCTAGACAACAATTTTCAGCCAAAGGTGGACTCATATACCTGCATCTTCACTAAATTGTGTGAAATTGATTTGCATTGGTTGGAAATGGATAAATGTGATTCCCATAGATATCTATAAAAGAACAAGATGTTTGTGCTTTATGAGAAATCAATAGTATACATTTCATCTTAACTATCGTACTATGAGTCTTCCCGGCCATATGAAGAAATTCTGAATCCTTTTACTTGATATTACTCACAACATTCTGACTTTTATATTTGTTTCCGGGATGTATGATGGCCTTGTTGACTTGACCATGCTATGATTTTCACCGACCAAGAAATTTTACATTATTTCCTTATTCAGGTTGCAGATTTTGGTCTCGCTAGGTTGAATCCCGATGCAGATACTCATGTCTCCACCAGAGTAATGGGAACTTTTGGGTAAGATGTTCTGATTCTTATGTAATCCACATCGAGGAAATATAAGAGTAGAAATGAACACAAAGCCTTTAGGTACTCTTTTTAGCTAAGTATTGAACTCTAAGTCTCAATATGGTATCAATATGTACCATGCTCAAATGTGCAGTTTACTTTTGCCATGCCTAAAAAATGAGCACATGGTTCTTAAGAATTATAAAATTAGGTTGAGTGTTTAGTATGAAACATCAAATGTCGCAGGGCATAACCATCTAAAATCAACAAATAAAAAATACAGTACGGCATACAAGGCATTATCTTACTTCCATTAGGTTGAGTGTTTAGTATGAAACATCAGATCTTAATCTTTATATTGGTGGAGCTGTTTTTGATGCAGTTAAACTAGCACACTGATGTTTGTTCTCACAATTTTTATCATATTATATTAACAAGCATATACTTCTGCAGATATTTAGCTCCAGAGTATGCTCTTACAGGGAAACTGACTGAAAAATCGGACGTGTTCTCTTTTGGAGTCATGCTTTTGGAGCTGATAACTGGCCGACGACCACTTGATAAATCTCAATACTACCTTGATGATAACATTGTTGATTGGGTAAGTCTTCTTCACAAGTACCATATTTTTTTTTTCCAAAACTAACTTTTGAATTGTTAATAGTGTTTGTGCTAAAGCTATGTTTGGTGTGATGTAATTAACCATGAAATGTAATGAGCATTATGTATTGGGTTCGACATTTTACTAGAGCCGCAATTGAATCGGTATTACAAAGGGTGTGTTTGGTTAGACCGGAGGGTTGATGAAGGAGAACTTAACCTTTTTTTGGTTTGTTAATTTGAGCTTGTTAGGTTGGAAAAAGTTGTAGGGGAAGGAGTGGGAAAGTAAATATTACCTCTTTCCTTCCCTCCCTTTCCCTTCAACCAAACATAACCACAATCAACTTTACCCAAAAACGTATGGAATGGAGATTACCCTTCGTATAAGGTAGACTTGTTTATATGTCTTGTGTCAACATTGTCTTCTCCATTTTCCTTCATCTCCAAAACAATAACCTATCTACTAGTATGGGATGGGAGTAGGTGTACCATGTACATCTTACCCTTACCTAGAAAAGGTAGAGATTTTTTTTTTTCAAAAGGCAAATGTTAGTAGAGTCACTAGAGTTCAGCAGGTAAAGATAAAATATAATTCTTAAGTTAAAATTTTAAACGGCAAGGTTCTGTTGACACTGCATCCAGTGTCAACAGTTGACGCTCCCTCATTTTTGCGAACGGAACACCAGGGGAGCTCCAAATGAGCGAGTGTCATCCGTTGACACTGGCATCTATTCGTCAAATCAGTAAACAAAAAGACAGTTTTCATAAGTTTTTTTTTACAGAAGCGCTTTTGAAAAGTTCTAGTCTGTATTTTTTTCATGTTTGAAACTTCTAACTTGTTGAAATCTCAAGCTCTACTACTGCAAATTGTATCTCTTTTTTCTAATGCTTAATTTACAGCAAACCCTGGGAATATGTATGGAAAGGTAACACATTGTCATGAGTGCAGGCAAGGCCCTTACTTTCACAAGCACTTGATGATGGAAACTTCGATGCTCTAGCCGATCCAAAGTTAATGAACAATTATGATTCCTCTGAGATGAACCGAATGATCACTTGTGCTGCTGTTTGTGTGCGCCATTTGTCACGAAGACGGCCGCGCATGGGTCAGGTACCTTTCAAATACATTCCATTATCTCATTTTGTCTGTCAAAATTTGCATATGGCGACTAGGGCTGTAAATGGATAACCGAAAATTCGATTAACGTCCGCATCCGTGTCCGTTGATACGGAAAATATCCGCATCCGTTAAAAGTGGTTATTATCCGTATTTGATTAAGGATATCCGATTGGTAAATGGATACGGATTTGGTAACCATACATGATACATCCGATCCGTTTATAATCCGCTCCGCATAGACATCCGTTTAAGTAACTGTTTATCCATATATCTGATCCGTTTAAGTAACTGTTTATTATTATATTATATTTTTCAATTGACACTTCAAAATATATGTGTAGACACATAAAAATATGTGTGTATGTGTATTGTTTATATCTTTTTATCATATGGAGTTGTCGTAGAATATTATAAATAATAAAAAATAAGAAAAAGTTACTCTGTAACAAATTATAATTCAATAAATAATATTTTGACTTTAATTTAATTGGAATTTAAAGTATTTTTCAATTTAACTTAAAAAATTGGAAACGGATACGGATATATCTGATATCCGACCAATATCCGATGGATGTGGATACAGTTTTGATTTTTAGTATCCGTCAAGATCCGTATCCAATTCGATATCCAATAAAAATGAACGGATACAAATCTGGTAATGGCACATCCGATCCGATTAATATCCGTTTACACCCCTAATGGCGACCATTTCTTTGTTTGATGATGATGGTGGTGCAGATAGTTGAGGCCTTAGAAGGGAAGGTAGAATTGGCCGAGTTAAACGGGGGAGTTAGACCGGGACACAGCTCGATTCAAGAACCGTTTGGAAGCTCGGATTATGACACGGCACAATACAAAGAGGACTTGGTGAAGTTCAGAAAGATGGCATTACAACAGCACGACTCCAGCGAATGCAGCGGGCCCACCAGCGAGTTCGGCCCCCTGCCTTCTGGTTCGAGTAGTGAAGCTGGAAACCGACAGGTGCGTCCGGAAACCACCGTAACCATAGAAATTCAATAGACTCTCGGCCTCAAAACGACGACTAACCTTCCAATTCTTTTGGGTAGAATATCGATCTTGATGCCGCCAGTTCTGTTCATAGTTTTGTTCTGGTTGCATTGCAGGCATTATTATTGTTCTTCTGCAATTATTTTTTAATATTTTTATTGTTTGAACCTTCAATTTGGAGCCAACCATTACAATGTAAGTACTTCATTTTTATATGTGACAAAAAAAATGCTTTCTTTTTAAGTCCTTGTTTGGATCCAATGGTTATTAAGAGCTGTTGGAGGGTTTTCTGCTTTGTGTGGACTGTTTACCAATGACTAAGATTTTGTTTTCTAGCAGTCTGGGAGCTTGTTTGTGTGATTTAATCTACTTGGTTGTAAAACTCTTATGGAAGAGTTAATGTTTAGAGGAAAATTAGTGTAACAATAATTACATCTTTTGATTTTATGTTTGGTTTATGGATCTGATTATGTATGCATTCAAGGTTTTTAGAATGATTAATGAAGACATCCCCAACATGATTGATGATTAATTATGGACCTTAATGGTGACAAATTGAAAAAGGATATTAATGACAGTAATGGAGAGGTCGACAACAAGATCCAATGGGGACACCGGACACATTAATGAATGTCACAAAGATTTAGGGCTTGTTTTATTCGCGTGATTTGTTCGGTTTTGATATGATTAGTTTTATTTAAAGTTATATCTAATTTGATTAAATTTTATCTGATTCTAATAAAATACTCCTTCCGTCCCGTTTTAAATCGCCTGTTTTGACTTTTGGGCATATTTAAGGAAAAGAAAAAATAGAGTTGATTTTCCGAAATTGTCATTACTTTTTAAGAGGGGTGACGATGAATTAAAATATAAGGTAGAAAATAAGTAACAGACAATTTATTTTGGGACGGAGAAAAAAGGCAAACAGACAATTTAAAATGGGACGGAGGGAGTAAGTAATAAGAATAAATTGAAGAGGACAAACTCTTAATCCTTTCTTAAAGAGTCCTTATTTTCTTTTTTTTAAGATGACTTTTCAAAAAAACTCTTTTTATTTTTGGATTTTTTTGTGGTATATATTCTTTCTCTTCTTTGAATTACATTTAACCACAAAATTTTATTTTATTTAAATAATTAAAATGTTTTTTATATAAGGAGCATAAAATTATCAAAAAAATATTTTGACATATAAAATACGGATTATTTGATAATAGAAGACTAAATATGAAAACTCTCTGCTATAAATGACCAATTATATAATTTACAATTAAAAAAGACTATTTATGAAATGATGCCTATAAAAGAAAGACGACGTAAATAATATTTGATAACAGAGAACTAAATATAGAAAATTGAAATTTACTCTAAAAAGAAAAAAAAGTGAATGTGACTTCACTTGGCGAAGAGGCTTTCCATTGCACCCGCGTAGCTAGGGCACGAGAGAGCAGTAGAGTTTCGAACATGGAGGAGGGATTTCTGGACAAAATCCGGCCACCCAGATTGGAAGATGCCGGCCTCGAAGACTGCGCGCTTCCCCTGGAATCCATCAAAGAGGCTTTCCTCAAGGCCGCCATCGCGGTCCGGTCGTCAGCCATTTCCCCGTCGGACGACGATGCAGATGGCAGTTGCGTGGACGATCCGTGGCCGGTCGCCGCAGATTCATCGGATTCGCTCCTTGGAATAGCAGATGGAATAGGCGGAAGCACCGATAGTTGCGTCACCGAGAAGCGAACTGAAGCCGCCGGCGATGAGGTTGTCGTGGTCGGTGCCGGCGAAAAGGAAGAGAAGTCTGATGCGCTCGTGGCGCCCGGTGTGCCTGAAGGCGGCCAAGCTTGCATCGATTCATTAAAAGGACTATCGATCGGTGAAAATGCTAAAAATTCAAGCACAAATCGGGATGATGATGGGGATGATGATGACCAGTTAGAAGATCAGAAGACGGAAAAACCGACCCTGGTTGAGGATTGCGTTTAACAGAACATTAGTATGATCTGTGTAATAAGGTGTGAATCATTTGTGTTTATCTAATATGAAATCTGAATGATTATCAGATTGATCTGATAGATGATGATGCTTTTATGAATCAAGATTTTCTTTATTTTTTCTGGCCAAGTTTCATCACTCTTTTTTGTTGATTCTAACTCCTGTTACTAGAAAACTGGTAAAATTACCAGACATTCAACGGTTTCTTTCTCATAACATGAAGATTTTTTTTTTATTTATAAATTGCATGGAAAACAAGCCCCTTAACAAAACTTTCTTGGAGCAATCAAGAATTGAATTGCTACACTTGTTCAGGTGAGTACAAGTATGCCCCTTACTAATGAACAAATCTATAATAAACCCATGTATAAAAATCAAAGGTTTTTGTTTTTTGTTTTCAATGTTCTTCGTGTTCTTCAGGAATCTGCCTTGCTGTGGTGGGTGGGTGCCTGGTCAGTTTCCTAAAGCTCGTCTTTCGTTTTGGTTCCCCGCTCTTTCAATGTCTTGTTGATGAGTGCTGCCAAGTCTTTCAAGCTTGACTTTGTAGGAAATTTAATCTGCAAAAAGAACATCAGAATTCAGAACCGAACGAGGCAACATTAAAAAAAGGCACTTTTTTTAAAAAAAAATGTAAAATAGTTACTGGGTTCGATTTGTCTGTCTCTGGGTAGAATAGCAACGCCGGATAATCATCAACCTGCACAGAATTGACATAATACAAACATGTCTCAGTTTACCCCGAAGATTCCTTAGTATAATCTCGCTATTCAGCTATCAATCCTCACATGCACCACATAGGTCCTAGGAGCCTAGGACCCACAAATTGTCGCCGTACACCTAACGTCTAGTGGCTTTTAATTTCCAGCACACCACAAATTCAAATATGGGATACCCGGCCACGCCAATGGTTATAGCTAAAACAAAGAAATTAACTGACCTGTAAGTTGGGATGTTCATTAGCGGAAGCATCTATCCTTGCAAAGACCAAATTTTCTAAACCCTTGAAATGCTTGGCCAACTTATCCATTTGTTTACTTGTCGTCTCGCATGAGATGCACCATGGCGTGTGTACCTTGAGCAGATAACATGGAACAAAATTCATCTTTAATGCAACTAATCACATTCAGATAACTTAACTACACTAATATATGTTTAACTAGATAACTTAACTACAGTAATATAGTTTTAACTAGACCTGGCAATTGGATCAACCGGTTCGGTTTCAGTTCGAGGATAATGTTCTATGTTCTAACAAGTAACAACACACTTCTCATTTTATCGTTTTATGATTCGGGTTGGGTATTATTTGGATTCCATTGTTGTGGTTCTATTCGGGTCTATTCGATTTAGGTCTAATCGGTTTCGGGCCTAATTTGAGTCTAATAGGTCTTGGGCATAATTGGGATTTGACTGAATTTGTTTCTGGTTCGGTTTGGTTCGGTCATCTCGAATTCTGATTGTAGATCGAGGATTCATTTTTTTGGGTCATTTAGGGTTTGGTTTTTAGTTATTTAATCGGTTCTGGGTCTGCTTCGTTAGGTCTAGGTTTACCAACGTAAATCACATTCAGACTCGAAAGCAGCATCTTGCAAAAATGCATGTTAAAGTTTACCTACATAGTAGCACCCTCATAGTGTACTCTTTCGTATGGTATATTCGTCGGGCACATGCATAAGTTAAAAATGAAAGTAAAAGTCCAGACAAACCTCGAGAAGAATGTTTTTGTGACTCCTCAGTATCATGTCATCAAATGTCTTTCCAACCACATCCAGAATGTTTTTGTCTGTCTGCAAATTTACATGCCCGGATCATTCATTGTCAGTGAGATTGATGCTTCCAATTGAAAAAGTGATTAGTAATGAAATGATTCGTACTCCCCCATCCCACAAAGAACTCGTACTTTCCGTATTACCCAAAAGAAATTCACATTTCTGCTTTTTCATTTTGAGGAAAGTAATCTCACAACAATTCTCTCTTCTAAACAAATTCCAACTAGACTTTTCAACACTTTTATTAAACTCCATAAAGTCAAATAGTGAAGTTCTTTATAGGGCAGATGGATTATATATACCCTCTAAATGCTAGTTTTATACTTAATGAGAATGCTTATTAGCTGGGATATTGCCAAACAGAGCTGTAATAGTATGGGGTTCCTGGGTAAAGTTCAGGAGAGACTCACATTGTCAGGTACTGGCTGTGATTTGTAGTATGGCAATACAATCCCATCCAAAAGTCCGGAGCAGAAGTCCTACAGATTTAGAACTTTAATTAATTTATATTAATCAGAAAGAGTAAGAATCTGAAAGAACAAAAGAAGGCAGTCTAAATTATTTTACTTCAATGCTTCTTGGTGTGGCAGGGGACTCCAACAAGTACTTGGAGCCGTCAGTGTAATTAAAAGCAATTACCTAAGAATTCACAGAAGGAAAAAAACGATATCATCAGCTAAATGAGTTAGCTTATGATAAGATATTCAAGAGCCCATTTGGTAGGTTTTATTTGCAGCTTATTGACCTTATCAACGAGCTTTTCACGAAATACTTTTTATGATGAAAACTAGTGTAGGAATTACCTTTGGTTGAAATGGCTAAAAATGTTGCTTCTACTTTTTTCTTAGAAAATACTCTCTCTATTGGTTAAAAATTTATGGAGTTTTAGGAAGATAAAGTATTGATGCCAACTTTCTAACTTTACCCCCGATTAGAGAATATGGTAAGGGGTGGGGTTAGAGGGTAATGGGGCTAAAGGACAAAAGGGTGGGTAAACAGAGGATGGGTAATTTGGATATTTCATTTTTTGTCAAAAATTGAAGTGTAAAGAATGTAATGGGACGGACGAAAATGACAAGTGTAAAGAATCAAATTAAAGAATCAAATGGGACAGAGGGATTAGGGAATATGTTGTTTAAATCTATAGTCTTTAACTGCTTTTTTATAGATAATCCAGCAGACTCATAACACCAGCATTCATAATCAGTCATTTAAGCCATTTTAACTCTTGGCAAAGCGGCTCTAAAAAATGAAACATGCTGCAAAAAGAAACTAACAGTTGTGTCCTTGGATTCTTCTATTCCAAAAATAGCAAGGAAGGGCTTCACAAGATTGTCCTCTCTTATGTCCGCATATATCAGCATTATCTGCATTTCCCCCAATGTTTTTGTTTTTGTGAGAAGACTATTTAGAATAGAAGGCAACATCCATACCAGAAAAACATCAGTTTGGAACCTTAGATTTGAACTTCCTCCCAACATCTTGCAAGGGTTTAAGGAGTTTCTTGAATTCATCAGGATCAGCAAAGACATATACCTTGGTTATAATGTCAATCACATAAGTTAGCATTCTTAAA